ATTGAAATTTAATAGTTAAATATTATTTGTTGTATATTTTATATAGTAAGTTATAGTGCATTTATAGTGAATAACTTTAGGTCAGGGAGTTGTTCGAATAAGTTATATAATATAAATATATATAAAGACCTGAAAGGTTATTCTTTATGTTTCCAAATTTTTATTATTTAAAAACTCACTTATCTTAGGAGGAAATTCCCTTAAATACATACTAAACCACTGTGGCACCGCCTTACGATTTTCTGCCTACCACATTTTCTGGGTTTGGGCAATCAAGGCAGTGGCAGCAACATTTGTGGCCGTGTACTGCCGGCGCAGAATTTATGCTAATATCCATTATGTCGAACATGTTATAGTTTCTTCTCTCGTTTCATACTTATATCTGTGTGGATCTGTGGTGTTTTTTTTTTTGGTTCTGTTGTATTTTTTGGGCCAATGCGGGGCGTTAACTTGAAAATTGCCGGTTGCCGTTCGCGCCGGCTGGCAGTAGCGCAAGTGTTGAGCTCTTAATAGAAAAATGGGCAACAAACTGAGGATCCAAACTCCAGTCCAACTCCAGAGCAACTCCATCTGTCCGTAGGCGGCGGGGATCTGCATGCGATGCTGGTGTAAATCAGAAGGTGTTATCGTCTGCATAAATATTGATATTGTTGGTGCAAGTGATAGCCGGCGTTGTGCTCGAAGCAGTAATTGCACGGCTCCAGACGACCGACCGACCGACCGACTCCATCCCAGAGTCTGGGAAAATTGGCATTGGCATTGGATCTGGCTTGGGCCTGCTTTTCCTCCTCATCCTCTGCCACTAATCCCGCCGCTTAGGTGCGCCTAATGGCTCTCCGTGTGCCTTGGCCCGAGTTCGCCATGGGCCTTCTTCTCGGGGTGACGCCCACTTCTGTGGAATGAGTCTGGGATCGGGATTGGGTCTGGGTCTAGGCCCTGGGCTCTTCGGCTCGCCTTGCGCCGTTCGACAATTTAGTGATTGCGATTAGGAGGTGTAAATGCGCTTCAGAAATTAATTTGTTCGCCACAAATTAAATTTTTATTATTAAAACGTCTTGCGTGTGGCTAAAAGGCTAAAAATAGGCAATTTTTTTGTGTGCGGCTTTCTTTGGTGATTGCTAAATTTCGAGTCTAAGTGGAGACTAAGTGGGAAATATATTTTCCTGGGTTAACTGGGTTAGGGTGAATTATTATTCAAGATTAAAGTAATGCAGTCAGTTGGGAAAATTAAATATATCTAGGGAAATATATAATAAAATAATTGTATTATTTGCTTAAATATAAATTATTATGTATATTAAAGGTTTTATTTGATATTCTTATATACATTTCTCACACAAAGTAGACCAGTAGCTTATTCGAGCACTCCCTCACATCGAGGAGCCTCCGAAGATCTCTACTGGTTTCCCCCAATCATTACCCCATTCGGTATGGCCATCTCTGATCCATTAGCATAAACGTAGCATAAATGAAGACATTTTTCGGTCAGCAGCGAAACAAGAACAGTATCATCGCCGTCATGATCATCGGCATGACCAATAATGGGAATCAGAGCACCGCAGGCTGGCTATAAGAAAAAAATTTTCCCAGCTTTTTATTATCGCCGGACGATCTTGTCTCTGGCATTGTAATAGAGTCAGATGCAATTTTTTGTTTGCATTCGGCTTGCATTGAATTAAATTAAAATTCAATGACAGCGGCAGTGGCAGTGGGGGTGCCAGGGGGTCTTGCAGATTGGGGTGGAGAGGCACTTCGAGGGAGGAGAGGCATCTACGTTTTGGTTTTGTCGTGCAAATCAAAATGAAATCACGGACAAAAGAACATGCCAGTCCGATCCGCGAGTCCGAGAGTCAAAGATGAAGTCAAAGTCAAGTCGCTGGTGGAAGCGCATTTCGGGGCAGTTCGTGACTTAAATGAACCGCAGAAAATCATTTGGCAAACAGCAATCTGGCAATGCTCGCAAAAAAATACAGAAGCTCCGAAGCTTCAAAGAGCTGGGAAGATGATGGCGCCACGGCCATGGCTGAAACAAGATCAGTTATGGTAATGTTCATGGCACATTTTGAGCTCGCTCCCATCGACGCGACGCGGACATGCCGGGGGCCACTTGTCATATGCCCGGATTGCCGACATCGAATGACAAATCCTCTAGAGAGCCAACATTCAAAGCAATTCTGGTTGAGTTCAATTTAAATTCAAAGCCCAAAAGGTGCACAGTTACACTAAACAAGAAACGATTTAGCTTCAAAAGTTAGCTTAAGATTTTCAAATTGTATAACTAACATATAACAAGTCATTAAAGAAAAATGAACCATTTAATTTAACGGATTTCACAAGAAAAAAGTTCCTAAGCAAATGTGGCTAGAAACATGTTGAGCAACACCGATAAATAAGATGCGTAACGCGGATACATTTGATTATGTACTTTAAATACCGATAAAATTCGAGGTATGAAAGATCATGTATCATAACGTATCTTAAATTATACTCCTTTAAATAAAACCCATTTGGTTCTTCCCAGAAAATAATAATAATTGTGTTATCATAACTTTTCTTGTTAAGTCTTTTTAATAAAACAAAATTTTTGTGCAGTGTTTAGTTCCTCACACATGGCGGCAAAAATTAAAAGCCTTTTCTAAGGCTCACAAGGGAAAAACTCGGCGAAAAATTATAAATTTAGGTGGAATGTCAACGTTATCGCCGCGCTCATATCTATTGGGGGGCATCGGGTTTAGTCCCCGAGCCAGAAGTCCAGAGATGGCATTTTGCATGGAGCTGACGATCAATGGCCAGCCATTTGGTAGGTGTTTCATGGCTAGCCAACAAGTCACCCGACCAAACCGAACCAAACCAAGTCAAGCCGGCGACCAACAATTGCCGTTTGTTGCAGTTGCAAGTAGCTAGTTGCAAGTTGCTAGTTGCTAGTTGCTAGTTGCTATTGGCGTCGCCGCCGCTCGGGAGGCAAATTAAACTGTCGAAACTATTTCATGTCCAATGCGCGATTTGGCAAACAATTTGTGACATTTGAATGGCCGTTCAATGACAATTGTGGCTGCCTCTTAGCCAAGTCTTCCTTCGCTCTGTTATTGATTCCATTCCCCCAGTTCGCTGCGTCGGCATAGCTCACAAGATTCTGTTTGGTATTGGGCTGGGTCTTGAGATCTCTTGGTTATGGTGGGAAATGAAATCAGTGCCATAAAATTACGAGTATTTTCCGGGCTATAATGTGTGAGAATGTCTTGGGATACCGTTGGTCAGCGAATGACTGGACAGTGCTCATTGTTGGATGATAAAGTAAATTTTTCTATGACTTTGTATACGAATTTTTTCAACTATATTAAATTTCAAGGATGTAGTGTTTAAAAATATGACCTTTTGTTTTTTGGTAAATGCAATTATAGCTCCTAAACTGTGCCAATTAAAAGGGGTCTCCGGCTGCCTGTGCGGCCGACTTGTAAACAAGTCGCTAATTCCCTCGCTGTTCACGTTGGCCAAGAGTGCAGGCTAAAGTGCGTGCATTTTCACCATGTGCTACATGAATTTTGCATTTGGCAGGGAACCAGCTCAGCGCCCCGGCGACCCCCGGCCCCTGGGTGAGCTCAGCCACCATTTAAATGAGCGCAGATTAAATGCGGGTCGGCAAAATGTTGCACAAACGAAATTAGCGCACACAAAAATAGCAGGCTGCAATGCCAGGAGCGGGGATACAGTGGTGTTAGCAGGGAGTTATAGTTTATACAATAATTAAAAAAGAAATAAGTTAATTGCTAGGCATAACCTAGAGTTTATCATGGCTTTAAATTAATTTTATTACCTTGAAGAAAAAAATTTATACCTAATATATAATAAATAAATAAATAAATTAAATTCCAATTTAAGTATTATATCTCAGTTGTTACCCCCTTAAAAAACTTCTCTCTTAAGCTTCTGCCTAAATAGGACTGTGTGTAAAGTGAGGGGAATCCCCACATCGCTTCGTGTGCAGTGGCAAGCAAATTATGCTGGCTGGCGAATTGACACGCCACATAGAGCAAAAGCCAGGCCAAAAGCAGAGGCATCTCCGATGCGAACGTGGCGGCCAATAAAAACGCGCATTAGAAAGGTAGCAATTGCCTTCTGGTCAAGATTAAAAACCAGAACGTGAGACACTTTACACTCTGTGGGGTGTCGGTTTCGTTGGAACGAAGCAGGCGAGGGGTTTCTCCTACAGATTCAGCGGCATAGGGGAGCCGGCATAAAAAACTCAGCATCGAATGCGTTCAATCCGGTGTAAGTGCCCATTTTACTTTTCTGGTTATTAGCTGAAAAACGGTTGTAATGCAATGGCTACTTAAAGATTTCAGGGTGGCACTGCTCAGAAACTAGTTAGTTGCAAATAAATTAATAAAGTTTTATGTAATTTAATAAAAGAATTTTAATTAAATACGAAATGTAATATAAGATGATTCGTTTTTCATGGACTTAACGCTTAAATTATGCTTACTTAAAATTCCTAATGAGGACTTCTCTATTGTTAAAGTTTTTAAATTTTTGTAGCATATCTAAACCGCATTCATCCAACTTCTAATGTTGACCAAAGACTTCTTCCTTTTAAGCTTTAATTTGGCCATAATCGTTTCCCATGCAGATCATAACCAGTGGCCCAGACGATACTATATATGTGTATTATTCGGTCTTGAAGCTGGCATTAAATGTCAATATGCTTAGGCCATTTATGAGAATTGTAGCAGTCGCATTTGTGCTCCATATTAAGGATTATTATTCATTTCTCCGAGAAGGCCAAAAGCGGTAGACAATTGGCCCTGATTATGGCCAGCCGATAGGCTAAACTGTCAACCATTGAAGTCGGTATCCAAATTAGTGTATCAACGGTTACAATAATGAGAATATTCCTTTCGATCATTTGACTTTGCCTTCAATTGAAGTATTTGACTAAATTCTTGTTCAGTTGAAAATCAAAGCATCAATATCGTTTAAGCCTTCGCATTGTCTGAACACGTATGTCTTCCAGATCCCATCTGCCGGAATATAGAGACTCGAGTGTTTCGGAACAGGATACACATCCAGTTTCGCTCTGGAAATCTCATCTGCAACTCATTAAGGTTGGTCTGCTGCTGCTGCTATGGAGCTTCTTTACATCGGTCATTATCCTTTCGCCTGTCAACCATCTTGAGACCTCGGTGGTGACCATTTTGCCCAAAAAGACCCTGCTCCGGCGCTTGGATCTGCCGGAAGAGGCTATCAAGCTCAGTCTGCAGGGACCCATTGATGCTAAGCTGCAGAAAGTCCCGGTCAAGGAGGAGAACGTGCCTGCGGTTGGCGTGCGCGTACAGTTGCTGGACTGGGTCACGAACCGTACCACCCAGCGCACGGCCATGTGGAATGTGTACCTGCACAGGGCGGAGGAGCTTAACAAGATTGAAAGGATAACCGAACTCTTTCGCATCCCGATGTGGGGAAGGAGTGATGTACTTGGGTTAGTGATAGTGGAGAGCAAATGCGAGTTTCCAGTGGCCCTGGTCATGGATATCGATTACACTCCCAAGTTTACACATCTCGGTATTCTATATGCCGTCCTTTTGCTTCTGGGCCTGTATATCATAATATTGCTCGAGCTGACGGATCCAACGTTCGGCGTCCTCCTGATGGCCACCACTGGCCTGGCGGTTCTCGCGGTACTGGGAGAGCGCCCTGGTCTGAGTGTGATCTGCACTTGGGTGGACTTAAGGATCATTATGCTGATGCTGAGCTTGATGATCATTTCGGGCATAACGTCTGAGAGCGGAATCTTCGATTGGCTGGCCATCCAAACCTATCGCGTCTCGAAGGGCCACAAGTGGCTAGCGATTTTTTTCCTGGCCATGGTCACGGCCCTCCTGTCCAGTATCATTCCCAATGTGACGATTGTGTTTCTGATGACCCCCATTGCAATTCTACTATGCGAGGTGATGTCTGTACAAACACCGCTGGTCATTTTCGTTGTGGTTATCTACTCGAATTTTGGCGGAGCTTTGACCCTAGTGGGAGAACCGCTTAACATGATCCTAGCCACTCATACTGGATTGGACTTCATCAAATTTTCAGTACACATGGTCCCCGGCATTCTGTGCGCTGTACTTATGGGTTTTCCCGTCATCTACCTGACCATGCGGAGGAACCTCGACCGGCTTGAAGACAACCAGATCATGGTTTCTGCAAAGCGCAAGGCGACAAGGCCTAGGCTGAGCCGCGAGGTCGCGAGAACGATGGCTTGGCTGAGGGAGAACCAACCGTCAAGGCAGTGCATCAGGCCATCGCCCAAGTACTTTGGAACCCTGGCTTACCTCCAGACCCATCATGGCATCCGCGACAAGCTACTGCTGGCGAAGAGCCTTTTTGTCCTGCTCTTTGTAGAAATCGGTTTCATATTGAACTCGCAGCCCTTCCTGCCGGGTGCCGCCCATTTCAAAACGGCCCTCCTGGGCGCCATTCTGCTGGTCATCATGGCCAAGTTGGATGACTTGGACACGGTGTTCCAGTACCTGGATTGGTCGGTCGTGCTCTTCCTGGGCGGCCACTTCGTGTTCATTGCCGTGCAGCGTGAGCTAGGCCTAATACCCTGGCTGGGCAATCAGGCATTCAAGGTAATATCCAGCGTCGAGGCGGACCACCAGACGACGGTGGCCATTCTATTGGTCGTCTGGCTAACGGCCTTCACAACAGCCCTCGTCAATAATGTGGCGGTGATGGAATTGTCGGTGGGAATGATCAAAATATTGATGTTGCATACGGAAATCAAAGTCCCGCTATCGCCGCTCATCTGGGCCTTGGCCTATGGAGCCTCTTTTGGCGCCAATGGAACCCTGTTAGGGGCCTACGCCAATTGGATGGGAGTGGTGGTTGCCAGACGGTTTGGCTACCACATCACCTTTTTGCAGTTCTTCCTGTTCGGCTTCCCTATGATGCTTGTGAGTCTTACGGTCGCCTCGGTCTACTTGCTGATCGCACACTCGGTCTTCAGCTGGCATAATACAAAATGATAATGTACATGAAATCATTTTTATTTTTTTTAATGGAAACTATAGTAAATAGTGTCTTGAATATATTAAAATGATTGTAAATCAGCTTTTTAAATTGTATTATTTAATTATTAATGCCCCTTTGATCTAGTTCCCTAATATAAACTAATGGCTCGACTGAATGTCAAAGTGGAAGCCAGGCAAAGTCAGACCCGGAGATCTTCTGTGGCAACAAAGTTAAGGTACTTTTGTGCCTGTGTTGTTGTCGGTCGGTTGGTTGGTTTTTAATTAACGCTTTCGCAACAAACTTGCCATTAGCCAGATTTTACAGCTTGCGATTCTTTTTTCGCAACGCCCGCATTACAACTAACCAGCGGAAGGAGATGCAAGCAGAGCGAGCCTCGTCTCTCGCCAGTCGACAGTCACATTTGTTGCCGGAATTTTTAGTAGTAGTAAAAATTGTTAAATAGTCTGCGGCGGCAGAGGCTGGGCCGACTTAAAAAAAGAGTAGACAAATACAAAAACCTAATTGGAATGCTTGAAAACTCCTAAGCTCGACGGTATCATACATCTGTAAAGTCATAGTCATAATAAAACTTTTGACAATACAAAACTCAATTCGAAGGTTTGAGTGAGTTAATTGTTTGCTTCCAATTTTAAATTAAAGTTTATATAAAATAGTTATGTTTAAATGAAAATAATATGCCTTCATTTACAGGGTATTGAAACTCCACAGATTATGCTTAAAAGTGAAATCACTTTGGGAATCATTACCACTCGCTCCCTGACTCCCTCTTTCGGCTAACTAGCCAAGACTACTCTCCCACTTTTTCCCACCGCCTTCCTACTATTGGACTCAACTATATTTCCACGGATTTGGGGTCGTTCGGGTCCGGCTATGGCATCCAATCATCGCCGACCAGGCCAGCTGATGAAGTGCCATTTTAGCATACATTGTCGGTGTTTGGAAAGCGGAATCTGATCTGTGGGTGAACTGGCGTCAATATGCTTCTGCTGCCGCTGAACCCGGTGGGAGGAGTTGGGATCTCCACGGATTCTGTGAGCGCCAACAGGTTTAGCAGCCATCCATCTAGGCATGCAGCTGACCCTCCGAGAGTAGCAGTATCCGGATCGCAACGTCAGCTTTGCTGGCTTATTAGCCAGACTTTGATTTATGCCTGGCTCCCAAAGTAATTGCCAAACGTTGTTTGGTTTTGGAGCTGCTTTATTTAAGATCTTTAATGAGTCACAATGATGGTAACGAAGAGTGCGGTGAAGCCAAGCGATTATTTGTTTTCATACAATTAAAATCTCTTACTCAAGATGCTTCTGGAGCTCACCGACTTCTAAGTTGTTCTAAATATTTTTAGCGCCTGCAGTTTTTCTCCCGAGTAAGCCAATCTGGGAGTCAACTTTTGGCACAAATATTTGAAATCACAAAGCCGCCAAGTGAACCTACGGCTTTGGTTCGGCGTCGGCGGCTTCAGAGGTTGACAAAATCGTGTTCAGTGGCCCAGAGTGGCACATGGTGGAGTTCCGCATTGAATCGCGGCCTCTGGACACTCGAACTATGCTGGTTTGGTATGAGAATGGGGGTCCGGTATTGGGATTGGGACTGGGATTCGATTGGGAAACATTTTAATGAATTGAAACGCTGAAGATGGCTGAAAACAGCCAAACATATTTTCGTTTTATTAAAGGCGATTAAAGTCATGGAGAGTCTTGCAGTTTTATGCTCTGCAATGCCAAGAACTGTAATTAAGTAATTAAGAATTGATTGGCTTAATTGGTTGATTGATGGATTAAATCAGGTATGAAAAAAATGTACTGCTTCTTAGGAATATAATGATTCACCTAGAAACACTATTGATTAAAATATATATATATTTATTAAAAAACTAAGTGAAGAATCTATTGGTATCATTAATCATTAAAACAAGTAAGGTAACTTTTTATTTGTACAGGTATAAATAAATATGATTATTATTTCCTGATGTATGCCATAGATTAAATAATTGAATTATTAAAAGATTCAATAAGCATTTTTCATCATTTAAATCAATTCTTTAATTATTCTTGCAATAAGTCCCCCTGATTCTCTTTAAGCATCGCCTAAAAGCCATTGCTAACCATTCCATTAAAGCCTTTACAAGTTCCCAGAGAATTCCCTCCCATCAACCATTGGCCATTTGCTAATAAGCCAATCTGTTGAGCAATCAAATGTCAATACACGGGACATAAAGTTCGCTGATCTGGAGATGGAACAATATAAAACCATTTATTACTCCTAATAGTCCAACTCGTACTAATCCGATGCGTTTCCCTGTCCTCTCTCCATTTCTCTGCCAGCGACAAACGACGATTGGTCGGATAAAATATTTGGTGCCATTCGATCGTCGATGCCCGTAGACATGAACAAAGCCACGTCGTAAACTGACTTGACTTGGCAATCCGCAGCTACACACGTCGGGGTGCGTGGATTAGAGATGGCAGCGTGAGGATCAACATGGCTTTCTGGTTCTGTAATAGTAATTTTAAATGTTAAACTTGTTTATAAATTACATAATTTAATTCAATTAATTATTATTTTTAAATACAAAGTTAGACTGGGAAATTTGTTTCATGTTCAGATACTTGATAACTATTCCCTCAATATTTAAAATGTATTCTTTAGTTCTTTTATTTTTTATACAAATTCAAAGCAGTAACCAAGTGTCATTCCCTCACTCAGTCATCTCCTTCGTTCTGGTTAGAAAAACTCCCAGGAAAGCACACAAAAAGCAGGAATGGACGGCTCAGCTCCTTTGCATAGCCAAAGTCTCTCCATAGTGCGAAGAGCAATGCAAGGGATTCAAAAAATTCCCAGGCGTTCGCTGCTGCTGCACAGCGAGATGGCCATCTAATAAATTCAGCTAATTAATGGCGAGTATGAGAGCATGAGATTGAGCCCCGGCCAGGCAGCATGGTGTGCACTGCAGAGCAGTGCGAACCGCACATTAGCAAAAATCTACATGATATTGAGATGCCACAAGGTGCCCGAAGATGAGCCCCAGAATCTTGCAGCACACCTGAATGCCAGCCTCATTATGGAGCCAGGAGTTAAGCCGAGCCGAGCTGGTGCCCGGCTGCCTGCCTGCTTGCTGGCGGCGGCAACGGCCTTAGATACAGATTTCTTATCATTAATTAAAGCCAAGCATGTTGGCTACCGTGTCCGGAGATATAAGGCGCTCCCGGCTCCATGGATCCCGATGTGGCAGCATCTTTCAACTGACCGCTGGCCTCGGCCTGGGGGCGGCGTCCATCGATCCATCGATCCCATGGCTGCGGCACACGCCTTATCGCCGGCACGCAATCGTTGTGGTTTGTGTGGCATGCCCCTGGAACCATCGAGCTCCTCCTTCTGATCTTCCTTATGACCACACGAAGGTGTTGGGGTTAGCCAAAGAGGGTCTAAGATTGCACATCAGGAGCAACTTCATTTGCTTAAATTGAGCGCCGTTTAAGGTGTTCTCGATAAGAAGGAGATTTTTCAGATTTATTTTAAAACTGGGACTGACACAGAGACTTTTTTTGCCTGAAATGCTTAATATTTTAGGAAGTTAGATGGCTAAATAAAATAAGTAAATATACTTTCAATTTGTTATATATTGAAAAATATAGTAATATTTTCTTTTCTTTTTTTAATTAACCTTCTGAAACCCCTTTAAATATGAATACTATCTTCTCCCCTAAGAAAACTACTCACAAACTCCACCCACTTTAATGGAAATGGAAAATATCCGCAGGCTACTATTAAGTTTTGGCGAAATTTCCCATAGCTTTCAATGCTATTTTCGAGATTTCTTGGCCCATCAAAGTGCGATTGCTGTGACACCAAAGATTTTCATTCCATTTCCCGCTCCGCCATTGCCACCGCCACTGCCGCTGCCGCCTTGCCAAAAATGATTCCCCCGGGCAAAACTCTCGGCAAGCTCTCCCCATCTCATCTCATCTCGCCTGGCGTTGTCAACAATGTAATTTATCAGGCAAGCGACATAATTACCTGCCACTTATGGCAATAAAAAAAACCCCAACGCAGAGACGGAGCGAGGCAGGAAAGAAACTCGGCCCAGAGCCGAACCAAAACCAAAGCCCGGCCCCGAGCAGCTCACTGCATTCAAATGCCGTCCGCAGCGGGCAACTGAAGCTGAAGGATTTATGTTCTTACAAAACGCTCCGAGGCGCTTAACAAGTGAGGCAGCCAACCGGCGACCAAAGACCGGGCCAATAGATTGATCGTACTTTGTGCTGGGCAGAGGGAGGTGCACTGAGGGAAAATCTTTGTTACTTTTCAGTAATAAAATAAGCCTTATTTATTTATACAATTCATTAGTTTTTGTAAAATAAAGGAGTTAAAAGGGTTACCCTGAATATTTTCATAAATTTTCATTAGGAAAATATTTAAAAAATATTTGTTATCTGTAATTTTTATTGAAAAAATAATTTTATAAAGGTATAGAGGAGAACGAGACCAACATTATAAAATCCAATGGTATTTTTCCCCGTGTATAAAAAGAGGCGGCATAGACACTCGGGCTGGGCGCACGGGGCGTATGGGCAATGGAAATTCCCGCCATTTGGTAGCCGCCGTTTAGCGCCTGCCTGCTGCAACTGCAACTGATTCCCACTGAACCGGCGGCGCATCTGCTTTGATCTCGATCCTCTTTTTGCCGCCGCTGATCGTTGCTCGCCGGCTGCTCTCCCTGGTAGCCGTGAAGCAGATTCGTGCCTTGCCGAGAGCGTTGACAAGTCACATGAGCATTGTGATCCAGCCGAGGACTTAACATATTGGCCAACGCCGCCGCCACTGCCGCTGTGGCTTAACTCTGGGGGTGTCCGCACCCAGCTGCACCTGCGGGGGGTGGTGCCGTTGCTCGCTGGCTTGGTCCTGATCCTCGTCCACCTCGATTGGCGTAAATTGGTTGACAAATAGCATTGGTTTTGGTGGGACTGAACGTGGTTAGAGCTTGATTTGATTGCCC